ACGGTATTGTCTGGACAAGCAAAAACGAAAAGAAGACAAAAGCTCAAGGATGACGCTTCTTGAAAAACTTCGAAAGAAAATGAGGACGGCTACAACAAGCCATGGTGAGGAATCTGATCAGGAACCCTGGCCTGAAAGAAAAACAAGGTTTGAGCGACATAAAAATGCTATAAAGACTGAACGAAAAATAGAGTTGGGATGGATACATGAGGGAAAACAAGTCAGAAAGCGTTCTGGTGGGGGCACAAGGGTGCTTAATGTATCGAAGGCATCCACCAAAAAAGACCTTTTGTCTCATGCAAAAGACCTCTTTTTTCCTCTTGGTAGGTCAACAAAAGGTAAATGGGAGGACTTTAATCACAATATATTTGACTTTAAGGAATCAGAACTTGATGAAAGCACTACGGTTGTTGACTTATACACACTGTCAAAATTTGGGATATTACGGTTTTACCTAAACACAACAAGTCGGGTAGACCTGACTGACGCTGCAGAAGTTGACAGCGACATGGACAGACATGGTGTCGCTGAAGGAGAAGAGCAAAACCCAACAGATGTTTTTGATCAGCAGCAGGAAAAGCCAGTTAGTGTGAATGAATCACAGGCAGAACCATCTACAACAGCTGAATACATCCATGGGAATTCCAGTGCCCATTCAGTTGTTTTTGACATAGTTGATCTTTCCACCCAGTCTTACGATTCAGAGGTGTTCATAGGTGGCCTGGTAGCTGTCCCATCTGCAAGCCAACTGGATGACACTGTTCCAGTTTTCATTTCCACGTAGGATGTCGTCAGTGTTGCTGTTTCCACATCCACACCTGTTTTAGGAGCTTATGTTGACCACACTGTCCTTTCAAGTGACAATACACAGTATGGCCCACTCTCAGAGACCAAGCTGGATGACACTGTGTCAGTTTTCCCTCCAGCAGAGGAAATTATCAGCATAGCCCCTTCCACATCCACTCCTGTCTCAGGACCTTCAGGTTTTGATGTAGACTATCAGCTACTTACAGTATTTGTCAAACTACATAGAGTAAATCTGTTAGAGGAAATGATTTGTCAGTTCAAAGACGAGATGATTCTGAAATACCCCTTAAAGTACAGCTTTATTAATGAAAAGGGCACTGATGCAGATGGTGTGGCCAGGGATGTTTATGCTGCTTTTTGGNCTTTTTGTAATCCGACTTTTATCTGTAATGTCAGCTAATTTTCTCGGTTAGCCTGCAGCCAACTTTAGACTACCTTAAAATGCCAATAAATTCCCTCCCTGTTATTTTTGCTTTTACAAGAAACATAACGTAACAACACATAGCACTCAGCTTCCCGCTTATGGGAACTTAATGTTGTCTAATGATCAAGAAAACAATGACAGTAATAGTTGATTATGGACGGGTCTTAACCTTGTCTGTAAGCTCTATTTTTTAGCAACTTCATAGTCTAACCTTTTATTTGATGCCTTTCTCAACTGTTTGGTCAATGCAGCAAGGGAATGGCAGAGAAATGTGATGATCTGTGGGCGTTTCTCAGAAGGCGAGGTGTTGGTGAGGAGAAAATCGCCCAAATGCAAGAAGACAAGGTAATTACACTTTCCTGACATGGATGCAGGTGCTATTTCCTTAAAAATGACTATGTATGCTGTTTTAGTTGTTTTAAGTCTTGATAACAAATTTTACCTACGGACATAGGATATATGACACTATGAGTTATAGCAGGGCTCTACTACTAGACTAACCATTTGCACTGGTGAATAGTTAGCTGAGCCCAAATTTTATCAATCTAAAAAAAAAAAAATTAAAATTCTTTACTTGAACCA